CTCCTGAGCACCCACAAACGTCTATCCTCAACAATCCTGTGACGAGAGAAACTCTATTATATTCATTTCACTGATGAGGAATTGAGGTCCTGGGGAGCAAAGTGACTTGCCCAAGTTCCACAGGAATTTGCTGCAAAAGCGAAGTTGAACCAGGTTTTTCCCAAGTCCTAGCCTAGTGCCCTAATCTATTGGGCCATCCTTTTTTGAAGTAAGCTAGGCTAAGAGTTATACTACTGCTTCCCCCTGGTAGTGACCTCAGGTGGAGTTCAGAGCAGGGCAACTATCTGTTAGGATATATAATGCTCTCTTTCAAGGAAACACAGTTCTTTGGGAAATAATTTATTGGAGCTTGTCTATATTTGCATCTTTTCTTGTTTAAGTCAGAGATGCTTCATTTTGTAGGGGCATTAATATACCGCGTGAAACTAAGAAACGTCATTTGAATTCAAATCTGTTGTTTGTTACTTGTATGATTTGCTAGCACCTAAGAGACCTGGTTACAGACCACATTTCCACTGTGCTAGGTGCTCTGCAGGCAAAGAATAAGAGATGGCCTTTGCTCCAAAGAGCTTAAAAGAATGTGAAACGTTAACAAGTTCCTTTGAAGGAGCGTTGCTTGGTCTCTCAGTAACTTTCCCTTTTGCAGGTCATTTTTTTAATTTCATCTGAGTATTTGTATCAAAATAGCTCCTTGCAGATTTTGTACTAAAGTGGTTTTGTCCCCCAAACATGTGATGCTCCTCACTGATCACTGCTCCCCCTCTCCCCCATATTTGCTATCTTTCCCTTCCTCAAACCAATCATTAGTATTTTTCCTGACTCCTGGTCCGTCACCCTTTCTGTGGTTCCAACTGACTGCCAGCCACTTGCACTGATTCTCAGATGGCTGTCTGCAGGTGACTAGGGATGGAAAGTGTAATTTAAAATTTTGACTGTCACCGCTAAAAATCCTAGCAGTTACAGTCACACATGCTGTGGGCTCTGTAGTATAAAGCTTATATATAACCAGTAAGCTGAAGCTTATCTGTTAACCCTTTATGCGGTTACACTTTTCCTACAGGTGACTCTCAGTATTCTGATGCCTTTGTTCCTCTCTGGCTCTTGATCTGTGTGCAGTCATAGCAACTAAAGCTGTTCCACAGAACATTTTTGGACAAAGGTCCTTTCTCATGTTGTCATTTTACACTTTAATCCTCTCTTCTCTCTGCTCCTCCTTGCTCAATGTAGTGGTGCATTTCTCCTGCATTGATGTGCTCCCCGGGGCCCTATCGTTGGCCCATTCATGGCACGCCCTCCCACATACGTGTGATCTCTCTGGATGGTGACATTCACTGGAACTTCTCAAGTCTAATCCCAGCCTTGATATTTGCCTTGAGGTCTTGGACAAGTCCCGGAGGGCAGAATTTTCAGAAATCTCCTCATTTTTGGTGTCAGCCTCTTGACTCAGTGCCTGATCTTCAGTGGTCTAGCTGAGTTTGGCTAGAGTTGCAAGTGCTCAGCACTAATGAAAATTAGGCTTGCAGGGTCCTGGACTGAGCACCCTGAAATTAGTCGGCTGCCTCTGTTTCTCAGTCTATACAATATGTCTATTCCTCCACCTCAATAGAGTATGCTGAGGGTTAAAATTAGGAAAGCCCTCTTGGAAACAAATAATGCTTTGTTAATGCTGAGTGGTGACGGTGATGTCATCTGAGTATCCTGTAAGGAGAATGCGAAAGCGTCTATCTCTGGTGTGTAGTGACTGAGAATTCCCTCGAATAGCTGCTTGAGTGACTGTTTGTTTAATCTTAGAGAAAACAAATTCCCTTAATCTTCACCACTCACCAAAAGTCCATCTCTGTAATTAATTATATATTCTATCATTACAGTTCCCAAATCTCAACTTACTCCCTCTTCGGAATAAAACCAGACATGAATGCAGGAAGAAGGGAGACAGTCAAAAAAAAACAACCAGCCCTATTGCTTCAGAGTATACTTGCATACTATTACCTTGTGGAAAACCAGGTTTCCTTACAAGTCCATAGCCATTGTTGTCCAATACGTGAGCAGTCTTGGCAAAGATGAGTATTGTGTCCCCCTGACAGCGATTCATTGGCAATAGAGAGAATTCTGTATGTTCCTCAGGATCTGGTGTAACAGAAAAAGGAAACCACTCTCATGGTGTTGGAATGATGTAGCTATTGCTTCCCCTATTCATGTAGGTTCAAGGAAAAATCTCTGAGACTTAAGAAAAGCCTGTATAATACAAACCTTAGATCCTGCAAACAATTAAGAAATGAACAACTTTACTCATATGAAAACAAATATCTCATGGCACAAAATATATAGTATCACGAACTTTCGTGGGTAAAGCCCACTGCTTCAGATGAGATGATCTTGAGTGGGTTTTTGCATAAATATATATACTTTAATTAGTCTCTAGGGTGCTACAGGACTACTTGTTTTTACAGTTACAGATTAACATGGCTACCCCTTCTGAAATTTTTAATCATATGAGTCATCATATGAGTCATCCCACTTATTGATTTGAGTGGGATTATTTATGTGGAAATTTGTTTTGGACCAAGGCGTAACTCCACCCTTACTTCTCCAGGGCTGTGTAATATCCTTGTACTTCTCCGGGGATTTCTTGCCTTCATGGCCGCATGTTTTCCAATGCTAACTACCTAATGGGTATGTGTTGTTGTATTGGGGGTGGAGCTTAGGAGCCCTTGTCAGATCCCATTGTGCTAGATGCTGTACAAACACGGAACAAAGACCGAATCCCTAACTCAAGGAGTTTGAAATGTAACCAGGTTCTTTTAGATTGGACATACTTGAATGATCTCAATAGAGAGGGAGATAAAGTGTAACAAGAGCTGAAGACTCCATATACCACTTTCTTTGAAGTCCTCAAATCCAAGCCTAGGTGCTTTCTAAAAAAGATGCTTTAGCTAAAAACCCAAGTGGTTGGGCCTGTGAAATTGAAATTCTTTGGCCTGTATTATACAGGCGATTGAGTAGCTCTGATCTACTCAAACTTTGGAAACCCTGGGGGCCACAATGATATTCCCAGCACATGCTGAGGGCCGCAACTTACCTGTGGTTGGATATACATGCAAATATATATATGCAAATAAACAATGCACAGACCCCATTTAAGTCGGTTCTTCTGATATTAATAAAATGCAACATTTACCCGATTTCCACCCATATGACAACACTTTTAATGAGCAATGACAATCTGGGAATTTAAGTACTCAAACGCATATCAACAGAAGACCATTATATTGACTTTTTGTTTTGGCTGCCACCCGTTAGCCATGTGTTGAGTCCCATGTAAACCCAAACCGTACCACGGGCCGCATGTGGCCCACGGGCCACGTGTTGAGTAGCCCTGGACTAATGGCCTTCTGAACTTGAAGTGCTATGTACCTAATTAGCATTGTGCCATATAATGTCTTGGTTTTACTTATGTTTAAAGTGTAACATTGGGAAATGTGTACTTTTGTAGTAAGTTCGGCTGAATTACTTGTTTTCAGTCTGACTTTGTCCCATCCCAGTCTCTTAGTAAATTCTGGGTAAAGGTCCACGTGGAACGCTAAGCCTTTGTAGCCCAGACTTTGTACTGTAGAAGCAATAGGTGTGCTGGAGAATGTATCAGGAGGCAGTTTTTTGACTTGCATTAATGACTATTCAGCAGCATTCCTAAGAAGGCTTGTACTCTTTGCTAGCGAATGTTCTTCTCTCCTGTTTTTAGCATTTCTTGTTAGTAACCACAATTTGCTGGGCTTGTAGCAATGTCTTGCAAATGATACATAAACACAGAAACTGCAGTTGTCTGGTATTTATGAATCACAATCACTCTAGACCTGGCGCCAACTCAAAAATACCTTGAACTGCCAGGCTGTCTTTTATATACCAAAATAGAAATAAATCTTTACCTCGTCTCGTCCTTATTCTTTCATTCTGACTTAAATCAATTGATGGTTTTATGTAAGCTGGGATCTTTTGAACACCAGGCATGTACTGATAAAGGAAAGCATTCAACCTTTTTTAGGTCGAAAGGATCACATTTTTAGGTCCAAAGGATCACATCACATCAGTAGCTTTCAGTGTGAAAATCTGAAATGGAAGAGACTGAAAATTCCAATCAAATGCAACCCATGTCCTGCAGGGAAGGGAGTGGCAGAGAGGGAGGCCAGAATGATGGCACCCAGGTTCAGCAATGAAAATTTAGGGGGGCTCATGACCCAGCGGGGGAAGCACATGACAATCCCATGGTGAAGGTACGGGACTTGCGTGAGAGGAGAGCATAGGGAAACAGGTTTCTCTTCCTAGTTGTGATGCTGATTCACTGCTGCTTTAGGCAAATTACTTCACTTCCCAGTGCTCTCTTTCCCCATCTGTAGTAGGGATTTGAAAACTGCCTAAAGGGGTTAACCAGTTAAATGGTTTGTGTAACTAAATAACCACTGACTGTGGGTGGGTGGGCTTCTAAGGCTGTGCCCGGGAGTCAGAAGGGTTGTCCTCTAGTGCAGTGAACTGTTGGCAGCACGGACACAGTAAGTCTTAAACATGCTGCAGGAGGTCCACAAGAGTTTAAAAAAAGTGGTGTAGAAGGGGGCTAATGGGCACTAGAGTGACCTTTGCCTTGTCCTGGAGCAAGACCATAAGAGATAGAAAAGGAATGAGCAGATTGGAGTCAGTTCTGTTCCAGCGCAGCGAGCTACGAAAACAGTGGTGTTTTCCTCCACCTTTCATCTGCTGCAATTTCCCACTGGCAGTTTCTTGCTTCAGCTACAACTAGGCGGGGAGGGGGAGATTATGACCATAGAAGAACAAATTTATCACTTAATTAGCATAATCATCAGGGTTGCTAGAACTATAATTATCAAACAGGAACAAAATCTTCAGCATATCAACACTACTCTATTTTGCAAATGGTGTATGTGTTGGGTGGCTTTGATTCTGGGTCTCTTCTCGGTAGAACGTGATGCCCTTTGGCAAAGTGAGTACTTCAGCAGTTGCTATCCTCTCTTTCTGTAGGATTTAGTCGCTAGAGGGAAGGGACACGGAGGATTTTGGCCATGGCCCCAAGAAAAAGAAGTGGACGGGGGATTTCGTTCATCTTCTGCTGCTTCCGAAGCAACGACCACCCAGAGATCACCTACCGGCTTCGCAATGACAGCAACTTCGCCCTACAGACCATGGAGCCGGCATTGCCCATGCCCCCGGTGGAAGAGCTGGATGTCATGTTCAGTGAGCTTGTGGTGAGTGTTGCCTGTTTCCCATGGCAGTGGGTAGCTATTTTTGGGAGGGCACCACAGAAAAATATTGGACCTTGCCCTGTTCCGTTGATGTCTATGGCGAATCTCCACTGAGTTTAGTCAGTCAGGCCAAGTGTTTAATTGAGCTTTAAACCAAAAGAAATTTAAGGGCTTGCTGCTGTTGCTAACTCCACTGTCCATGTGCCTTAAGTTCCTATTGGGCATGCCGGTGACTTCCAGCCATGCATGGACAGTCATGATTGATATAGTGCTTCTGCAAAAGAGAATTATGCACCTCCCACGGAACATGTGGTGTTTCGAGGCTCTGGAGCTATCCATCTGCCTCTCCTGGAATAAAACCAGCTCTATCATCAGTCTTTTCCCCAGGCCCCTTTTTGTTCATAGTTCTCTCCTTTACAGTGTATTGGTTTATTTAGGCCTGATAGCGTGCCTGGTTCAGGATGGTAGATAGGACTCTGGCCCTATAGCGCCTGTGCTCTTTCAAACTCAGCTGATGCCGTGTGCAAATTTAGTGTTTACAAAAGAATCTAACTGTGTCTAAGCCAGAAGGCCGTAAGCAGGTAGTATAGGCTGGCATGGTGGGTAACTTTCCATGCACAACGCTGCCAATTCAACAGTCAGTCCTCACCCCGCACTCCAGTCTTGGAATTTTCCCAAGGGCGAGCAGCCAACTGGTGTCATCCCTATCCATGTTTAAACCTATCTCCTTGTCAGTTGTGATTCCTGGGGTGGGAGAGCAGGCTGGGCTGCAGAACCACTGGTAACCTGAAAAGGGACTGGAATAGCACCATGGGAAGCAGCTAGGTCGATGGAGTTTATGCATCGTGGAGAGGTAGTGCTCTGGAAGTTGAAATGTAGGTAGCTGGCCCAACTGAGTCGTTTCCCATTGCTCCAGGGCTGCTGTTACGAGGCATGACTGGCCCAGGGAGGACTGAGAGCACTAGCTGATCAGGGGAACAGATGGGTCCATCTCAGTGCTGTGGCAATGCAGGTGGCCATGAGGCCTAAGCAGTAAATGTGGGCATGTCCTCTATTCCGTTGCTAACACTGTGTTCCTGTTGGTCCAGCCACTGCAATTTCCCATCTCTGCAGCCTACGCGGGTGTGATAATCGCGCAAGAGGCATGTGGGTTCTTAAATGACAATTTTGGGCAGCAGGAGCCAAGGGAGCGAGCATGAGGAAGAGGGCACAATGGTGCTGTTTTGGTTTTTGTTCTGGTGCATATACCAGGTTGTGAGTTGACGGCACTCCACAGTATACTCAAAGCATCAATGATTCTTGTGCCCTGCGCATGCTGATTGGAAGGAGAAGGAAGGGAAGTGGAGGCAAACCCAAGTGGCAGCATTGCAGTTGGGCGAAATGTGGAATCTGTCTCACCAGAAATGCTGACCTTTCAGCTTTTGGTGACGAAAATGGAAATGTTGAAATTTTTCCTGGAACAGAATTTTGCCCCAGTTTTGGCATTGGTGAAAGCAAAATGGAGTTTTTAGTTTGCTGAACTGATTCAAAACTCAGCATTTTGGGTCATTTCAACATTAATGGATTTTCCCATTGTGCTTTGTTGCCTCAAGGTAGTTATATTTTGGGAACTTGATGCCTCCTTTTTTCTCATATGGGCCAGGCTTCCTGGCTAAAATGCGTCTCCTGTCATGCAGCTTGCAGATGGGAAGTCCACATTGCACCATGAGACATGTAATTTTCCAGAAAATCTCCTCCTCCATAGTGGATAATGGAAACCTGAACTATAACTGCAATAAGGAAATACAATTTATTATTTTGTTGAACTGATTAGAAACATTTCTGGTTGGTTTAATACATCAAAATATCTTGGGTCAGTTCAACCTGACTCGGAACAAAATATTTCCATTTGATTTTTCTGATGGAAAATTTTCAGCAGAATCAAAGTTTTCCCATGGAGCATTTTGATTTTGTGGGAAAACAAATTTTTTCACTGGGAAGACTTTCAGTGGACAATTCCTGACCAGGTCTGTTTTATGTTTAGTTTGGCTGTGCTAGAGTATGCCGGGACCCAGCCTTAGTATAGCCATGCTACAGCTCCCTCTGGTTTTGCAGAAACCTCCCTGGAGATTTGGGGTTGAGGCTTATCAGAAGCCATTGAACACCAGGCTTGAGGCTCCTACAGAATCCCTGTTTATCCAGGAGGCCCAGAGCACTCCTTCCTGCCACTGAGAAGCATATGGTGGCTTCTTTTTGCAGGGAAGAACCTGGTGCCGCCTTGGTGTTTGGACCACTCTCACCATACATGATATTTAGGGAGGCCTGACTGGCCTTACATGATAGGGTGGTGTGGCTAAAAGTGATTAGAAAGAGGACGATGCACACACTCTGCTATGGAGCACCCACTCCCTGCTGTGAAGATTTTTTTTTTTTAATTTATTTTCCCCTAACTGGCTTGCAGAATTGGCCCAAAATTTGACCGCTTCTTCTGACAGGAGTCAGCTGTGACCCACCGTATGAGGGAAGACTCCTCCAGTTGGAGGAAATTCTATAACTGTGACCAATCGCAACACACACTTGTTCTTTCTGAAATTCAAAGAATCCATGGGGATTCACTGAAGCTCTCATTTTGGGCTTTTCCCCCTCTCCCTGTTAGAAATATTTGTGAGAAACTCTTGTGGGGCTTTCCCCAGTATTTGCAAGACTGCTCTGATTTCTCTAACATTTTGCAAACTCAATAATAGGCAAACGTTCACCAGGAAAAGTTTAAAAAAAAGTTGCTGCAACTCTTTTTGGTCAGATAGGGCTAGGAGTAGCCACACATTCATGTTGCTCGCAGGAACCTGTCGGTGTTGAGTACTAGATTTCAGCATTAGTTAAATGATTTGGAAAATGTCCCACTGTTTCTGTGTAAGCCCACTGTGTAATATTTGGAGCAGCGACAGGAAAAACAGCTAGGGGTGTAGGGCTGATTTTTACGCTTGCTGAAGCCTGGTAGAAGGCTGAAAGGTGTCTTTTTAAAATCTTGGCAGGTCTGATGGTGCCACACAGTTTGCACTCGATGACTTGTAGCTGCTCTAGGAGCGCATCTTTCCTCTTTGTATGAAAGGCATTTTGAATCCACTTAATTACCTTGGTAAACAGGGATGAGGTGGCTTGAAATATGTGGAAGGAATCTTGAGGCTTCACACGTTGAAATTGGTGTTAGGACAGGCTTAGAATTGTAGGGTTTTTTATGTTGTACTTGTTTGTGGATTGGTGCACTATGGATCAGTGATGTGATAAGATTTGTTTTACGGTAGCACCCAGTGACCCCGTCTTTTGTACAGTTCAGCAAACATTAATGTAAGAGGCTAACTTCAGTTCAGAAGTACATGGCTAATGCTTTCGCTCAGGGGTAGGGAGCCTTTTTTGAGCCGGGAGCCACTGAAGCCTGATAGCGGGGGGGGGGGGGGGAGGGAGAGACACTCCCCACATTCCTCTTGCACACCAGAGCCTAGGGGAACCCAGGCCCATAGATTTTGTGTGCTCCAGTCCTATCGGATGTGGGGGCACCCTGGAGCACCAGTGCAGGCTCCCCAATATGGTTGTAATTGGGTTGATTACCCAATTAACTGGTACGCAAAAGCTTACCTGTTAATGCCATAGAGTAGACTTTAGATGCATTTTCTCCCCTCCCCCACTAGTAAATTTTTTTAGCAGGCTGGTCAGCAGCTCAGCCCAATCCCAGCTTGCACTGAGTTCCAGGGCATACCCCACTGCAGCTCTGCATTTAAAGAGTATTAGGAGCCGAGCCAAGCGGGCGGGCAGCCTGGCTCGTGCAGGGTCCAGGAGCTCAGACCCGCTTTGGACGGGACTGCTGCCACGCCATGCTGCTGTCAGCTTCAGGGCAACAGGCAGCTGGTTTTTTAAACTGGCTCACTCACAGACCAGCTCTTGCCTGGCACCCCGTGCTGCTGCCTCTCATACAGAGGCTGGGCTACGATTAAGTTGTTTAAACAAATGTGTTGCAATGGTAGGAAAAAATTTTTGTCTGAAAACTGTAGGTACTGGGGGTACTTACAGTGTGTGTTTTTCTTTTTTCTTTTTTTTTAAAGGGGGGGTACTTAATTTAAAAAAAAAAAGTTGAGGAGCACTGAAAGTGAGAGCATAGCTGTGCTGGCACAGGCAGTGGGAGTGAATAGCTGCCCCACGTACATGCCTAGCGTCTCAGCTGGACTCATGCTCAGGGTAGCATGTCCCTCCTGCCATGTGTGCCGCTGGTGGCTGTGCTATACTATTAGTACACTAGATTGGTCAGAGTGATGGCAGGTATGTCTGTTTGCAGGGGAGTCGACAACTTTGGTGGGCCCCATGGCAAGGTATGGAGGGGGACAGCTCTGTGCCCCCAAAAGGGGGCGGGCCCTTGGACGGAAGGGGTGATTAGGGGTTTGGAACGGGTCCCATATGAGGAGAGGTTAAAGCGACTGGGACTTTTCAGTTTAGAAAAGAGGAGACGGGGGGGATATGATAGAGGTCTATAAAAGCATGAGTGGTGTGGAGAGGGCCAATAAAGAAAAGTTATTTATTAGTTCCCTAACTAGAAGAACTAGAGGACACCAAATGAAATTAATGGGTAGCAGGTTTAAAACTAATAAAAGAAAGTTCTTCACACAGCGTGTCAACCTGTGGAACTCCTTGCCGGAGGAGGCTGTGAAGGCTAGGGCTATAAGAGAGTTTGATGAGAAGCTAGATAATTTCATGGAGGTTAGGTCCATAAAAGACTATTAGCCAGGGGATAAAATGGTGTCCTTGGCCTCTGTTTGTCAGAGGCTGGAGAGAGATGGCAGGAGACAAATCGCTTGATCATTGTCTTCGGTCCACCCTCTCTGGGGCACCTGGTGCTGGCCACTGTCGGCAGACAGGATACTGGGCTAGAAGGGCCTTTGGTCTGACCCAGTACGGCCGTTCTTATGTTCTTAACCAGGGCAGCCAGTTCTCAGCACTATCCAGACCACTGGGCTGGCCCCCTTCTGCCCCAGCTT